TACCCAACCGGTCGTAAGTCAAGGACTTTCCCTGCCCGGGAGCACCGCGCATGCGTGGTTCCGCCCCCTGCGCCGGCCGAGGCGTAGCTGGCAAGCGGCAGAGACGGAGCAGGCCGACCACCAGCTGGCCCAGCCCAAGGGAGGTAAGGCACCCGCCGGAAAAGGGGAAAAAAATGGCAGACAAAAAAAATGGCGGACAAAAAAAATGGCGGACAGCCTTGCTTGGTGACCCCCGTGAAATGGTCGATCGACCCCAAATGGGGTCCCGACCCACAGGTTGAGAACCACTGGACTAAGGGAACAAGAACCTGCTAATGAAATAACTGATTATTTTAATTACAAAGCAGGATTTTTTTGTTTGCATATGGGGAAGTAGTTAGGACAGATTACACATAAGACTTCTGGTGTGCTTACGCTGATTAGGAATTTGGTGGCAACTCCAACAATATTAAGTACAAACACAAAGTATCGCATCTTAACTGAAAATATAGGAAACTTTAAAAATTAGCTTTAATAATAGCTTAAAATAGAATATTCACTATCCTTCCTGTAAATCCTAAACTTCAATATATAAGGTTGGCTGCTTTGATGTTGTAGCAAGTTTTTTCTACCAGAGTTGTTACTGCAGCATTTCTGAGAGAAGACGTGATGCTTCTCGCTAAAACTAACTCCAGCTCTTGAAAATTCTGAAGCCTGGCCACATCTTCATCCTTGGAGGAGAAAGGAAATAGTATTTTTTAAAATAATTAAAGCAGTTTCAAACTGTGAAACCTAATAATAAAACGAGTAATAGAGACTGCATTAAGATGATGGATTACTTTAATACTACCTTAAGAATCTTAGTTAATGAAAAAATTTCTTTCAAGCTTCAGGAACTGTTCAAGCATTCCATATTTATTATACTAATCCATACTGCAGACTAAACCCAAAGAGCTTTTATGAAGCCCCCTTCCCATCACGTCCTTGGAACCATTATACGTTTTGTGTGGAGGTCTATGGAGGGATGCAAAATGCTCTCATCTGAATGTACTTAAGCTCAGTGGAATATCCCAGTTTCCAGGGCTATTCTGAGAGCACTGGATCTGCCTAGACTTGTCATTGCTTTGTTTACACCTTGTCAATCAATGCAAGTTTTTTGTTAGAAATGGAACATTAAAGGCTAGAGTTATATGTGCTGCCTTTTATATAAATTACTGAAGTACTGAAGACTCACACACTGCACTGATAAATTATGCAGTTTGCTCAGTTTTGAGTTTAGCATCCAGGAACTTGGTTGTTCTGATTCAGAGATCACAATTGTAGATTTTGGCAACCTTTCTGCTCTCCAGTAGCATCATGAAATGACCAGTGTGAAAAAACCTCTAAATTACCAAATTTTGTGAAAGTCTCACAAAGTCCCAAATCTTTATAGCATCACATAAAAATCTCACAAGATTTGTTTCATAGTAAGTTTCAGGTTTAGGAGGGGTGATATGCAGGCAACTCGTAAGTTATGAACTGCAATACTAGATGAATCTGGATAATTGAATCAGTGCTGCTTAAGGAAATCAGCTCAATGTAGAAACACAGCCAATTACTAGTATCATTAAAACAAGGAATAAGAAATCCTGTTTGAGAAGTTTGCTTGCATACAACTCTATTTTTATTGAGTCTGCAAATCCTTGGAAGAGGAGATAAAATCTTGCAAAACGATAGTTTAGCTCCTTGGCTTATGGCGTGAGTTAACTAAAATTAAGTATAAAAAGTAACCAAAAATATTTAGGTATAGATATTATTATATAAGAAGTGAGCCAGCCAATTTTATTTTGGATATCCTTGTATATATAAACCGATGCAATCTTATAGATATAAGAAGGTTGCAGGCCTGGCAGTAGATTAAGGAGGAGGTCAAACCTTGCTACAGTGCTTCAACAGGAAAAAGGGCAAAGGGCATTGTAAAATCAGACAAATAATCTACATTATCCTGGTGCAAAGGTCCTTTTCCTGATCAGAGACATAATAAAGGTAGGGGGAGAGGCAGACCAGCTCCCCACATTTCACTCTGCTGAAACAAGCCTAGCGGTTTCTGTTTAGGCAGTTTGATTTTCCATCCCCTATAGCAGGGGTAGTCAACCTTGGCTCTTTTATGACTCATGGACTTCAATTCCCAGAATTCCTGAGCCAGCTCTACATCACGGGTGTCAAAACTCGATTGCATCACATGACCTATCATGACTTTTTTGCCTTTGCGGAGCCAGGGTGGGTGTGGCCTGCACCTGACTCATCCGGTTCGCAGGCTGCCAGTTTGACATCCCTGCTCTACATGGTTACAAAGCACTACTAAAGCGTATTCTTGACTCTAGAATTTTCTGCACATTGTCAAAGCAAGAATATACAGTATTTGCAGCGTTGACACTACTCTTAACACTGTTTCTGAGAGCTGAAGTGTGACTGAAGATGGAGCGAGGGAAAGTAGAATTAGAAGAGCATTGGCAGAATCTCAAGAGTAAGAAGACGGAGACCAACGGGGTTTGCTCATCTAAAACTCTACTGTATGATTCAAACTTCGGTTAGTTACACTTTTTAAATTGCGTGTGCAAAATATTTTCCAACATGGATTTCAAGCTATTAATTAAACCCATAATGCTAAAAACAATGAACCAATTGTTCAGAAATGATTGTTTTTGCAAGAATCCTTAACTGAATCTTACCTCAACTACTACTTGTACATACCAAATAGAAGGTCTGTGAACAGCAGACGCCACACAGGCCTTCCCCCCTTTTTGGCATGAAAAAATAATGGATGGTTGTTTTTTTCTTGGCCCTTGCTAATACAGATCAGGCAATTGCTTTAGATAAATGCTGATTATACTCCTATCAACTAACTGATGGAAGTTCTGAGGTGCTCATTGGGGATAAACCTGTACTCATTATGCTGGCCAACAGCAAGAAGCATTTGGTACAGTGCTTATCAAAAACTTCCATTACATGTTTCAATCCTCTATAGAAACTTTACATACAATAATAGCAGGGGGGAAAATCTCTAACACAGTATTCAGGGCAGTAAACTGCAACAAGAGCTTAAATCTTAAAAGTCCATATAAACCAACATTTAAACAGTCAACTCTTGCTTCTGTCCCAATTAAGTACCATCCATGTTCTCCATGGTATGGAACTTTTAACTGGCCTGTCTCTGGACTGGCGCTCCAGCCAGAATTGTGCTACATGATTCTGTGAATTGCAGTAATTTTAAGCTACAATTTATGCTCACTTCTTGAAAGTAAATTGTTCTCTGCTGAGAACTTTGAAGGCTTTCATGCTGAAAAGCAGAGGTTGAAGGCACACTCAAATATTTTTCACTGATTCACAACATGCTCATGCACATATAGCAAAATATTCTATCTCTAGATGTTTGAAGGAAAGGTTTCTTCTTGTATTATTATCTTGGCAAGGAATATTCTTGCACAGTAGTTGTTGGCATGCATGAGGAATTCTGAACTCATCCTAAAGCCTTTTTAGAAAGCAACACATTAAAATGTAAGATGTTAATTCTTTCTGTACTAATTAATAAAAAATCAATTGTACGTCACAGTAATAACTGCTAGTTCCATGTCTCTTATGTACTATTTTGGATAGTGAGCCATTTTCAACAGCTAATGTCACCAAATAAATGTTTAGAAGAAAATCTTTGTGTTTACCTTTCTCAATAATGTATTAGGTAACTTTCTAATCTTTTCCACTTGTTCAGAATTAATTCCCAGCTCACAGCAACACACTTTGAGCAGATCCTGGTAATTCAGTTGTTTTCTGTCCAGTTCAATTTCAATGAAGTCATATTCTTTAGGATTCTGAACTCTTACTTTAAGCACCAATTCTATATATGTATATGGGGGAGGAACATATATATTCACATGAAATAAATGCTCATTAGCAAGAACAGAAACAAAAATGATACGTTCTCTGCAATCCCCAAATCATTTTCTTTAAACCATGTCCTTCATTAACAGAAGAAAGAAATGGCTCCAGACAATTAGGATTATTAGAAGAAATTAACTGTAGACTAAATTAGGAATTTGGAGGTACTGGGGGGCGGGGCATCCCAGAAGAGGGAAATGGCAAATCACTGCTGTATTCTTGCCAAGTGGTCACATCCATCATTGGGGGTCAAACTTGACTTAAGACAGACTTTACCTTAGCATGTAATCAGAAAATGAAGACCAAAATGCAGTGCTGATGGTTATTGCAAATGGATAATAAGGTTGTGGACAAAGGAAAAAGGGATTCACCATCTATACAGGTAGTCCTTGAGTTACAACCACAACCGAGTCCAAAATTTCTATAAAAATACTAAGCAAGACAGTTGAGTGAGTTTTGCCCCATTTTATGATCTTTCTTTCCACAGTTGTTAAGTGAATCACTATAGTTGTTACGTTAGTAAAATGGTTGTTAAGTGAATCTGGCTTCCCAATTGATTTTCCTTGTCAGAGGGTCACAAAAAGGTGATCTCATGACATTGCAACCATCATAAATACATGGCATTTGCCAAGTATCTGAATTTTGATCACGTAACTGGGGATGTTGCAACAGTCGTAAGTGTGGAAAACAGTCATAAATCACTTTTGTCAGTGCTGTTGTAACTTTAAACAGTCATTAAATGAACGATTGTAAGTCAAAGACTACCTTTAACTCCAATGGCTTCCTGGGCTCCTAGAACTTATTGCTGCCTCTCCTATCGGAAGTGCACATCCAAACCCCCCCCCCCCCCCCCGCTTTATCATGGGTGCTTTCCCATTGGATGAAGAGCAAACCTAAACAACCTGTCAAGAAAAATAAAGAAACATTATTTGAAAGGTTTTCAGTACCGTCCATATTGCATGGAAAAGTTCTACTGAAAAGCAGTGGCTGTAATGCGGACTCTGCGTCCATAGTGGCATCATTTGTTTGGTTAGTCATATGTTGTCTAGATGGACAGGAAATCAAGTGATCTCTGTTGTGATATGCAGATGAAAAAAATGAGGGAATAGAGCTTTGAACGCTAGACTTTATATCTTCGGATGCTTCTGCAACCACGGATGAAATGAGTTCTTCAACCCAAAGGTGTTTCCCAGAGAGTTCTGTTCCTCTGTGCAAAGAAATTGCTACATCGTTGTTTTCTGCTTGAACTGTTGATAAACAAAGGCTAGTTTCACCAGCAGATAAATGAGGTGTGGCAGAATTATTTTCTCTGGGTGGAGCACCCATAAGAGCAGCACCATCCCCTTTTTGATGGTAAGTCGCTGGAAATGATTCATTGGTGAGACAGTTTGCTATACCACTCAGCAGCTTTAAGTTATTTACTTCTTGATTATCACCACCTTCCACTTCAGGAGCTATTAGGAGAAAATAAAATAAAAAAAAATAGAATATTTTAACCATTCTCTCCTATGAGAATAGTTATTCCCATGCATTTCAGAATCGGCAGAAATAACTATACCTCAACTTTGGGAATCACGTTTTAACTGCAAAGGAACAGCAAACAGATTTAACAGGCAAACAGTTTTAAGTACAAGAGAAATGCAGACCCACACATGAAGCTAACCAAATACTTGGTTAAGAATAGGACAGTTATTTTTTATTTGGAAGCAGAAGATAAAGTAGAGAAATATGTTCCTGTATACCATACAATTGTCCAGTGGCACAAAATGTACCTAAAATGTCATATAATGCGATCCAGGAAGCAGGTCTTTATTGTCACAATGCCTGGCCTATGGAACACCATCCCTCCCTCAGCTTCAGAGGCCCTGTTTTCTGCTGTTGTTTAGAAATATTTTGGTTATTCCCTCTGGCATTGTGCTGAGGCTTTAAATGAACCAATTATAAAACTGAAGCGTG